CCATCAGCAAACATCAAGGAAGCAAGTCTTTAGGTTCTTGATGCTGCTGCACTTGTCTGAGTGATGCCACGGCTACATTTCAAGTCGCTGACCAGCTATTTTCAGAGCACTGGGAAAGAAACCCCATGAGTGTGGGACAAGAGTAAGGGCTATGGAGAGCTGAGCTTTACTTAACACTCATGTGACCTGGCTGGTTACCAGAACCCCTTCCCCAAGCCTCGTTCCTTAGGTAACGTTTGCTCATCGCCTTGTCATAAAGGTCTGTCTCGTGTAACTGTGGCTGAAAGTACTAGGGAAATCCACTACAATATTGATAGCTATTTTCCTTCTGCATTATTGTTTCAGCCACTTCTTACTGGGTGTGGGGGGTGATGTAGATGAGATTGGAAAATAGCACCCCTATTTCTATCTTTTAAAAAAAGCAAAGAAAGCCCTAAATTGTAGGAGAATATAAATTAATCGCTAGATATTAGTATGTTATTTTCTTAAATGTATTTTAGCAATAACCACAGATTCCTACTGTTTCACAACTATCAAGGAGTTGAATGTCTTCAGAACTCTGAATAGACTGAAGAAATGTTTATGACATAAATAGTTTTTGGGTAGACCCTGGGGAACTTGAATGGCATTTAAGAGAGGTAGCTATAGGGTGTTCCTGTGAGGTCAGGAGAATGAGCACATGCCTGGCATGAGTGTTAGGTGATGGGTGGAAGCTGGAAGAAGGCCTGTCTTGGCCCTGCTCTCAGAAAATATGAGAGGGTCTGACGAAGATGGTGTTATTGAATGATACATTGATTCAGAAGGTTGGCATACTGGAGTAGGTGCTTTCAAGAGATGAATGTTCCCAGAGGAATTATTCCCCAGGGAGATGAGGTGGTGCCTGTGCCGTTAATCTGACCTCAGGGAACAGAGAATCACTCACAGTAGTGTAGAAGCAGAAGGAAGAAGTGAATCTAAGAGAAATTGGCCTGGAGATACCAGTATCTGCCTTGACTGATTGTGTAGAAAGAACAAAAAAGATGAAGGAGAACTTAGAGTCTAGGAAGCTTGCAGCAGCATTAGGCATGCCTTAGGAGCTGACGCGTTCTCAGAAGGAACTCTGTAACACCATTGTTACTACTGAGCACTGCAAAATCACAATGAGCAATCTCCTAGGTACTGTGCTAAGCGCTTTATGTGCATCGGTTTAGACAATTCTTACCACATCATCAGGTGGCCATTTACCCATTCACTAAGCATCGTTTTAGCCTCCCTTTGTGTGCTAAGTGACAATTTTAGTGCTTATTACAAAATGAGAACAATGTTCTTGTCCTCAGGGAGCTTCTAATCCAGTCAGAGGTTTCAGATACTAAACACGGAACTCAAAAATACTGCAGGCTGTGATTATTGCTGTGAAACAAGCATTGGTTAAAATTATTTGTTATTTTATATGTGAATATGCGTGCCTTAGTGTATATATGTGCACTTTGTGCATGCAGTACCTGAGTACCTATCAGAGCTCCTGGAGGTGGAGTTACTGGTGGCTGGAGTGATCTTCTGTGGGTCCTAGGAACTGAACTTGGATCCTCTGAAAAGAGCAACAAGTGTTCTTAGACACTGAGTCATCTCCCAGTCCCAGGCAGTGATAGACTCTTACACAGGTTTCTGCCTAGAAAGGGACCAGGAAAGCTTTAGGTTCAAAATGAGCAGACATAAGAAAAGGTACCCACTATGGAAGAAGCCAGGAGAAGGTCATTTTGTTCTAAGTAACCATCCAGAAAAACCTTGCAAATTGTGGGAATTGCAAAAGGCCATTTTTTTCTGGAACATAAGCACCAGACAGAGAGTAGTATGGGCATGTAGGATCTCAGTGGCAGGTGGTTGGGAAAGCTACAGGGGAATGGATGTAGAGTCTCCCTCCAATTCAATGCGAAGACATGAAAAAGTCTTAAGTTGAGTGGTGGGTGGTATAATCTGACTGCCTTTTTACAAAGGTCACATGTGGAGATATGCTGGAAGTGCAGGGAGACATGAGGAGAATGGCAAGGAACTAGGAAGTCATTTACTCCAGTGAGAGATAATGGCAGAAGTACAGGATGGACAGATGAAGGGCTTGGCATGTTTTTGACACAGTAATGACAGTGTTTTAGGTGGAGAGAATGTAGAGCATTGAGAAAGAACAAGAAGCTCTTAAGTTGTCTGTGTGTATACATGTGTTTGTATACGTGATGTTTATATATGTGTATGTACAAGCACATGTGTGTGAATGTGGGTATGCACATACCATGGCGTGATGTAGTGGGGTCAGAGGAAACTTCTACTTTGTTTGAGACAAAGACTCTTCTATGTTGTTGACCACTGTGTATACTAGAACTGATGGCCCACACATCTTCAGGAAGTCTCCTTTCTCTACCTCCCATCTGGTTGTAGGGGCACTCGGAGTGCAGATTTACTTTGCTGGATTCTAACTAAGGTCTTCACACTTACACGGCAGACACTTCAACCGCTGAGCCACTTCTCCAGCCAGACTACTAGGTTTTTGGTTCTACAGTGGGGTCCTGGCAATGCTGAGATAGGAAAGATTGGGGAGGGGGATTTAAAAAGGTAAGTGTTTTAAGTGAAATAATACATTTAGGCCCATGGATCACAAACATGAAGACACCAATTCTCTAGGATTTATAAATACAAGGGTTATAGAGTTGTGTCTGAAAGAGATGGAGATTTTATATTTATTAACCTAGAAATGGTGGTTAAAACCATACGCATGAGGCTGGAGAAAGTACCAGAAGTTAAGAGCGCTTGCTGGTCTTGTAGAGTACCCAGGTTCAGTTTCTAGCACTTAAAAGACAACTCACAACTTCTTGTAACTACAGTTCCAGGGTATCTCACGCCCTTTTCTGGTCTCTGTGAACAGTAGACACATGCAATGTACATGAATATGTACGTGCAGGCACATACTCATCCACATACAATAAAAACAAGTAAAGCCTGAGGGGCGTTGAACTTTGTACTTGCAATCTTTTCATAGTCTCAATCCAGAGTAAGGGACCATCTTGGGGAATATTACTTTAAGGTGTGTTAGTTTTGTTTATGCTGTGGAACATTTGTTAATGATGCGAAGATGTGCTGCTCTGTTTATGCTGCACTTCTTTAACTCTGTAAAGCTGTGACTCTTTGTCTGTCTAAAATGCCGGATGGTCTAACAAAGAGCTGAATGGCCAATAGTGAGGCAGGAGCAAGGATAGGTGGGACTGGCAGACAGAGTATGAACAGAAGAAATGAGGAAGAGGAGGAGCCTCAAGAGAACAAGGAAAGGAGAATGCTAGGGGCTAGCCACTCAGCCACACAGTCAAACATGGAGTAAGAGTGATATTAAGATATACAGAAGTAAGAAAAAGAAAAAGCCCAGAGATGAAAGGTAGATGGGTTAAATTAAGGAAAGTTGTCTAGAAACAAGCCAAGATACACCCAGGAATTCATAAGTAAGAATAAGCCTCCATGTGTGATTTGTTTGGGAACTGAGTGGTGGGTCCCCAAAAGAACAACTAACCAAAGCAGTAAGAACAAAGACGTCACACAGCAGGATCAATTAAGGGAAAAGGCATCTTCAAAAACATTGAAATACACTTTTAAAGAGAGGAAAGCATAACACACAAGCAAGCACAGCTAGTCTTCTAGGAGACATGTATGGGCAGAGAGGGTGGGAGGAAGCAGACAGCTCACTAGTCAGGCGTCAGTTGGCACAAGGCTAACAGTTGAACCTGAAATAAAGGAAGAAACCAGTATTGTGATGGACATTGGTATTGTGATAGTTCAGGAGGTCAGCAGAGCCCAAGGCTGTGACTAGGAGTTTTCATAAAATGAAGTCACTGAGCAAGCAATGCAGGAGTTCTTAGCAGTAATGGAAACAGTTTCATGACTGTGCTCAGGACAGGGCCTGGTACCTGGATCAAGAAGGGACCAGCAGGGGCTGGAGAGATGGCTCAGCAGGTGAAAGTGCTTACCAATTTTCAGAGGACCTGAGTTTAGCTCTCATCATGTTGTTTACAACTGGCTGTAACTCCAGCTGCAGGGGATCCAAAGCTCTCTCTGAACACAGTAGCCATTGTAGCTAGACATGCTCATGAGCACGCATGCATGCGCACACATACACACACACATACACATGCATGCACGCGCACACATACACAATTATAAACATTAAAAAACTTAAAAAAAAACAAGGAAATGGTTGGTATATAATTGTTGAGGACTCTGGTTCACAGGGCTGCCTGGAAGCTCCTGGCAGAACTAGGCATGGAATCACATGTGATTGTCCTGAATCATATTCTTACAAGTGTTTAAGTTATCATCTGAATGACTTATTGACTTTCTAAATAATTTCTTGTCTCCCATTCTCTCTTTCTTGGTTGATTTCATTGGGATGGTCAGTTTCTGGTTAACATACAAATAAGACATACAGAAGCGAAAACTAGGTTTAAAATAAAATGATAGACAAATTAAGGGACTTTGAATTTAGTTTATAAATATATTGATTGTTGCTAACTAACCCCAATGCAGTTATACTAGGAAATTACGGAGGAAGGATATTTTATCCTTTTGTTGTTGATTTTCATTAAACTTAGGTCTCAAGCTATACCTTTATAAACATGCACACACAGATACACACACATAAACACACACACACAGTATGAACATTTTACTCTTCCCATTGTGTTGTTCCCAGAAGGTTGCTGCCACCCCTGTTAAGGGTTGTGTGAATTTTGTAAGGTCTGAGACTCTTCCTATAAAACACAGTTGTGTTCCCCCCCCCACTGAACAGAGACATAGAAAAAGAGAGAACCCCTCTCTCTTTGCCTACCAAAGCAAAGCTCTATTTTAGCTAGTGGCCAACTCATGTCCTATTAGCATTCTGAACCTCAGACACAGGCTAGGTGGGTCATTCTTATTCAGCTTACATTAGAACCCAACTTAGGCATCAGATACCCTGGGAATTTCTCTTTCTACTGGGCACATCTTACCTTGCCGACATATAAAGGGTCAGTCCCAGTGTATTCTTCCAGCACGAAAAACTGATTCCAAACCCAGCTCCTCTTGCTTCGCAGATGTGGCTGTGGCCTGTCTGAGAAGAGTGTTTCTAGTTCAGCTCCCGGCATTGGAGTGATTGAGAGAACAGTGCTTATAAGGTCCATCAGTGCCCAGAAGTACAAGGATGTGCCGAGTCCAAGCCGACTCTTTGCATTGCTCATTCTACCCGTAGTCCACATGAGCTTGCAGAAGTCCACACGTCAGTAGGATGGGAAGCACTGGTGTTGCGTATTTTCCAAGTGAAACAAGTCACGCCACAGGTTACTGGAAACTCATTGCTTCCCAAAGGTTTCTGTTTAAATCAATCCACTTGGAGCCGAAGTCCTGTCAAGTTAAGGGAAACACTGTCAGGGGATTCCTTCCTAGGGGCTGCTTGCCAGTTTGCTAGTAATGGCAGCAAATGTTTGGCTTTCTGCTCAATCAGGAAGCTGGTTATCCCTTAAAAAATGTTTTCTTTTAAATAATATTTTGAGCATAAAAGCCCATGTATGTTACTATAATCAGCCCCAAACACTTGGATTGAATTCTAAGACAGTAAAACTAGTATAAACTCTTCTCAACAGTAGCTTACCTTGAGGGCTAGACTTGCTATTAACTGGCTTGAAAGATAAATAGTATGTTCTTCAAAATGTATGTAATCAGAAAACTTCCTAAACTCTTCAGAATAGCATTCGCTTCTAAAATTTGCATCCATTAACGAGCATTTCCACCAGCTCAACTGCTCTCTTAACTTATTAAACATAGAAACGTTAGACTCCTTTTTCTTCTGCCTTTGGCAATCATGTTGTACCTGTCCCTGTTATTGACTATGCTAGGAATCGTGGGCTTCATTTATAAGCAGCCATGGACTGCTTCTGACGTTAATCATTTTCTGAACTCATGAGAAAGACGTTCACACTCTACTGCTTCAGCTGCAAAGCGCCGATAGGGGCTGTTGACGTGACCTTTCTAGGTATGAATGGCCAGTTAATCATCATATCCTTCCTTCACAGGGGACTTTAAATACTATTTGTCATATGCCACCATGAGAAAGCTAAGAGTTGATCTAATAGATTTCCTTTCCTGACCCAAAAGACTCATTTAGGAAAAGGAATGTTAAATTTTACCTGGCAAACACCTTTTCATCAATCACACTTCTTCTGAGGCTACGGAGTCAGATTTAACCCGAGACCTCACTCCCGGGCTATGACCACATCAACATTTCCTTCCCTTCCGTGACTGGACTTGATGAGGTAGTGTTGCACTCAGGCTACTCATCAGAGCAACAGAAGTGTTTTCTTTTGGGGGCTTAATATTTTCACTGCTAACTTGAATAGCTTTTGCTGTGACTTACAGCAAATGTGTACACCTGCAGGTTTCAGGTCAGTACAACTAAATGGTGATTCTTCTTGTGAAAGTGATTTAGAATGAATACATTGATGCTGAGCCAGGTCTCCCTTCCACCTGTCATCTTCAGAACAGGGCTTAGAGTCCTCTCTCATACTCATCACTGAGATGCACAAAAGTATTTAAAAATAACTCCCATCATTCATACAGTGTCATCCAGTCTGTGAGAAGTCACATCAGTGAGAGCTGATGAAGAGGAAGAGTCCAAGGAAACTGCTTCTGTAGCAACAGAATAGGGTGGCCTTGCAAGCTAAGTCTGCCTTATTTAGGCTGATTCGTTTGTGATATCGGTAGAAGGTGAGCTCCCAGATAGTAGGTGTTCCTTCTCTTCATGGATTCAGCAACAGAAAACGAGACATTCTTTTTTTCCAGTCCCTGACTAAGGGGGGTGTTTTGTTTGGGGGGAGGACCCTTCATATGGGAATAAACTTGATGAAAAAGATAGATGAGGCCCAGATATGCCTTCTTGGGAACATAGAAGGTGAAGTAGAGTATATCACTCCACAGAACTGGTAGCCCGATGGCCATATTTGGCAACCATAGGAAATGAATAGTCTATGCCTTATCTAGACACACGGTCACTTAGAATTTCCCCAAGAGAAGCAGATTAATTTAGACAGGCCAGTGTCTTATTCTTTCTTTGCTTCTGACTTGTCTACGTCAAGTTATCAAGGCAGTGATTGGAGCTCTGCTGATTGACTCCATGAGTGATTCCCGCATTTATTTTCCTTATCTGTTAAGCAGGAACAGTAATTCTTTTGTCCACTCAGCAGGATGCTCTTGAGAACATGATGGGATAATACAGGTTAATGACAAAAGTGACCTCTGGCATTTCTTGAATTACATAAATTGCCTGGGTCTTGTGTGAAAATAATGAAGACAAGCATAAGACATATTTCATGGGTATAACTGGGGAGAAAATCCTCCAAGGGCTTGTGATATAGATCATCCCACAAATCTCTGATATGTGGTAAGTACTGTTTGATAGAAGATTCTGGCTCAGTCCAATTCTATAGTAACAAGTAGTTAAATAAAGATATTTATGAAGATATTTAACAAGGGGATAGTTACTAGAAAACTCTGTAGTAGTAGGGGAGTTCTAGGTTGAATTTATGAACAAAGACTGTGCTTTTTGTGTGTGAACATATGTGCATTTGGACTAATACCGTGACATATATGATTCCTCCATAGCACTCTTATTAGTGACTTTTCTATGGCTCTCTTGAGGACCTTGCTTTAGATTGCATGTACATGTACATATGTGTGTAGGTATTTAAAGGTTCCTGCTATGCTCCTATTGACTAAATACCATGAACAGAGCAAGATTTGAGGAAATATTGAGGGAATTTAGGTAATGAGCACTATATTCTCCCATCTCTCATAAACTAGACAAATATTCTTGCCAATTAAACTTTCCTGTCCTTACCTATAGATATGATCTGAAAAGTTCAAGAAAAAAATTCCAGTGGAAGTTTTGTGATGAATATTTTGTAGGCAGTACAGCTTTTATCTTCCTCCCTTGCCTATTTGGCCCCTACAAATGAGTGCAAAGATTTTATTTTCTCTCCTTTTTAATGTATATGCACAGGTGTGACTCTCTGGTATCTAGATTGTGTTGGCCCTCAGTGATTCCACGAAAGTTGCTGGTCCCTAGGCCCTCTCAGATCCAGTCATAAAGATTTCCATGCCTGTAAATGCCTCCCACCATGTTAGGGAACTGGGTAGTGACAGGTGATGGAAAGCACAGTTTTGTTGCTTGATGTTTTGGTCCTTCCTGATTTCTGTCCTCCCATCAGGTCCCACATCCATTTACCCACAAAGAAAATCACACAGAGGTTTACATAAGTTATAAACTGATTGGCCCATTGTTCTTATCTGTGTTCTTATCAGAGCCACATGGCTCTGAACCTTTTTCAGTGGGGTAGGTCACATCCTGCTTCTTCTGTGTCTGGACAAAACTGTGGAGCAATGGGCTTCCTCCTTCCCAGAATTCTCCTGTTTTCCTTGACCCACCTATACTTCCTGCCTGGCTACTGGCCAATAAGCATTTATTTAAAACATAATTCACAGAATACAGAATTGTTCCACACCACTTCCCCTCTTTTTTTAAAAAAATGAAGGAAAATATACATAGTCCACTTTTTGGGGAATGTGGGCATAGTTTTCCAGGCTACTTCTGCCTGGTTGAGGGTACTGATAATCTTATGGGGACCTAAAGAAAATTTAGAGTTATGATCAAGTCCTGTGAAGCTTGATCATCTCAGGCAGCAGTCTTGAATCTGTTCTGAATGTAGAACTTAGACATCTGGGCCAGCTGTTCCTACTGGAAATTTCTCAGGTGGTCTTCCTTGATCAAACCTGATTTTTCTTAATTCAGAATGAATCCACAGCCTCTCATTTCCTGTGGAAACAAAAGCAAAATCTCTTCTCCAAAGTAACATACCTTTTGACATCAATTTTGAAGTCAAGGTATTTTCAAAATACCTATCTTGGATTAATTCAGCAGCATTTGTAAACAAATATCTTTTAGTAGCTGTTGTTCCTTCCTCAGCATTCAAACAATTCAAAGACAGCATAATAACATACAGTATCCAGATTCTCTGTGTATTTTCCATCTTTATGTGGCTTTACTTTAACCTCTATTTCTTTTATTCTTACTTTTACTTTTTGAGACAGGTTCTCTGTATATCTTTGGCTGTCCTGGAACTCACTCTGTAGACCAGGCTGTCCTTGAACTCACAGAGATCTACTTGCATCTGCCTCCCAAGTGCCGGGATTAAAGGTATATGCCACCACATCTTGACAGAGGTCTGTCTGCCTCTATCTCCCAAGTGTTGGGATTAAAGGTGTGTACCACCACACCCAACTACTCTTTCTTTCTTTTTAAGGACTTTTACCTTTAGCCTGCATATATTTTTAACACATTGTAAACCATTTAGAGGTTTTCTTCATCTCTGAATCTCTCTTTACTGTATATTTCTCTTTTTTGACCACATGAGTCTTTAATTTGTTAAGCAATATGGAAAGGATTAAAGCTGTGGCTGTGATGGCTAGATCCAGCCCATTCCTTAGCTTTATGAGATTCTAGGCTCATTGTGTAAGTACCACTGGAGCCATGTTTATTTCTACAACCCTATGGGGTTTCAAGTTCCCTACCAGTAAGCAAGCTGCAGCGGTGTGCTCACAAACCACATTCAAATGCTCCATTGTTGGACCGCCTGCCTGAAATGTCAGAGTTTGCCCAGGCATGATGGCCCAGAAAGCCGTCATTTTAAAATGGCATGGCTTTTTGTCTGCTATAGCTGAAAACCAAAGCACATGTGGTTAGCTTTTCATCAACACCATTTAAGTGTTTTGTGCCAGGACCTCTTAAAAGATCTGCAAGTTTTTGTAGCTAAAGCTGAGTCAGGAAGACTCTCTTAAATAAGAGTGCTTGCCTCTAACAAGCAGAACAGACCTGAGAAATTGCTGCTACCAAAAAGCCATGCTTTACTCTACTCTTTTCTGTCTAGAATTACTTCCTAAGCTCTGTCAGTCATCCACACATTGGAGCCATTCTGTGAGTAGCCAGTTAAGGTGGCACACACCTTTAATCCCAATGACAGATCTCTGTGATTTCAAGGTGTGGTAGCACACACCTTTAATCCCAGCACTTGGGAGGCTGGGGCAGGTGGATCTCTGTGAGTCAAAGACAGCCTGTGAGAAAGTTCCAGGACAGCCAAAGATACACAGAAAAACCCTGTCCCAAGGGCCAAAAATTAAAAATAAAAGAAATAGAGGTTATAGTAAAGCCACATAAAGATGGAAAATACACAGAGAATCTGGATACTGTATGTTATTATGTTGTCTTTGAATTGTTTGAATGCTGAGGAAGGAATAACA